AAAAAAATCTGTGGAAAAGTAAAACAAGTGTGTGTGGCTGAGGAAATTCTCAGTGCTGGCTGTAGCAGGTAGGACAGGCTATTGGAAAAATGTCAATATTTCCCCAGGAATGTGGAATCAGCTGGTGTGAGCCGGGATTTGGGGCTGCAGGAGGATGTTTTATGGTGCAAAGGGGTTCCAAAAGCTCTGGGTGAGCTGAGCATGGCTCATCCTGTCCCTGTCACTGATCCCAGCCTTGGGAAGGACACTGAGCTTTTCTCCTCCCTGCACTGGAGGGGTGCCACAAATGGGGCTTTGTTCCCAAAGATCAAGGCCAGGCTTGGAGACAAGGCAGGCAGAGATCAGAGGGAATGTTTGTGCTGTTCTTGTGCTGATAGCAGCAGGGACTCTGCCATTCCCATGGGAAAATGGGATATTCCTCTGGGGAATGGGGTATTCCTCTGGGGAATGGGGTATTCTCTGGGGAATGGAGTATTCCTCTGGAAAAATGGGATATTCCTCTGGGAATGGGATATTCCTCTGGGAAATGGGATATTTCTCTGGGAAATGGAGTATTCCTCTGGGGAGTAGGATATTTCTCTGGGAAAATGGGGTATTCCTCTGGGAAAATGGGGTATTCCCCTGAGGAATGGGGTATTACTCTGAAAAATGGGATATTCCTGTGGGGAATGGGGTATTCCTCTGGGAAATGGAGTATTCCTCTGGGAAATGGGATATTCCTCTGGGAAATGGGATATTTCTCTGGGAAAATGGGATTTTTTTCACCCAGCTTCAGCTCATGGGTGATGTGCTGGAGGCCTGAACCCAAACCTGACCCAAACCCCAGCGCTCCCCATCGCAGCAGGAGAGGGATGCTGACCCAAATTCAGGCTTGAGCTGCTCTCCAGGAGCTGTTGGGAATGCTCAGGATTAGGCTGGGAAGGAGAGGTTTTGTTTCTGGGCTGTGCTTTGAGGTGACCAAAGGGGGTTTGTCACCATTTCTGGGCTGTGTCCATCTGTCCATCTGTTTCCCCCTCTCATTTTCCCCCGTTTTCCGTGGCCAGTGCTCCAAGTGCAGCTTTCCTTCAGGAACCACCACAATTCCTACAGAACCAGCTCCCAGCAGCTGCCTCAGCCCCACTTCAGCCAAGTTTGGGGGTGGGGAGGAACAAAAGGAGCCCTGAGGAGCGGGGTCTGAGACGGGAAGAAGGACAGGAGGGGTTGGGATGATCCCCTGGGAAATGCTGCTCTGGTTTCCCAGGCTGAGTTGGATGATGATGGATAAAACCCACRGCCTGGGGCCTCTTGTGAGCAGCTCGGGTTGCAAAGGGCTGAAGGCAGCAGGAGAAGCCCCCCGTGCACAGACCCTGAGGATTGGGTTTCTCTGGAACCAACCAGAAACACGTTGGGGGTGGGAGTGCCAGCAGCGCTTGCAGCCCATTGAAAACACGGCAGAGTGGTTTGGATCCCTTCCCCAAGCCTCAAACCTCGGCAGGAAAACACTGCCAGCCCCAAAATGCCCCAAATGTGGCTGCAGACCCCGAGGA